TACGGCAGATGAAATATCCACACAGATTTCATTCACACTTTGAAATTTATATTTTCCTGATATTCGATGAAATAGTTCGTATACTGTACTGAGTTTAAACAACGCTGTTATTCAGTATTCAAGTGGAAAATAGACGGAACACACAGATGGATGAAAGTGTCACAGATTCAAGTGCAAATCTGAAATCTATCTTCGACCTCGCATGGACCTCAGAGAGATGAATATTATTTGACCTGGAGAATACTGGCAGGAATCTACTGATGGCTTAGCTTCGAACTACAACTTTGATCATCACCATTATTAAAAGAACAACTTCTGCAGTGGCATTTTTTGTGCTTCCCGCTAAATGTTACTCCATTTTACAAATGACAAACCCTCTGTCTCGATGATGGTGAGTCGTCAATTATGCTGGCATACACTTAGTTAATGACGTATAAGGTCAGTGGATGACAGCAGATACAATTCTGCTCTTCATATACCTCTAGTCATTGAAAGCTACTCTGAGGGTATGAAAAGAACTGTTGTTGAAACGCTGTTTTCTTCAAATTACATATGTTTGAAATGAAGGTTTATATTCCTGAACAGTTCTCAGATTCCACTGTCATTCATATTGCATGTTCGTCAAACCCAGAGGCATGTATATGATATTGCGTAAACTCTCATACCGTAGATAGAAAACTTACCGGAAAATTCCACAACGGCTGGAGAGAACTATTCACAAACCAAATAATTTGAGGATATTGCATTGTATACTGAGATTGGTGCAGAAGGAACGCCAAAGTGTTCACCTTAATTGACACCTAACGGAGTTGTTTTCAAATAGAATCGAAACACACAGTGTTCTCCCCTAGCTTTCTCCGATTTCCAATGGTGATAGCTGACTTTGATTTAAACTAGTCTTCGGATCACAACAGAGTGGTTAACAGTTTTGTCTTACATAGTGCAATCAACAATCAGACTTCGTTTACATAAAAATGCACCTAGACCTGAGGTTAGTGTGTTTATTTAGTATATTCTTAAAAAGGAGTATTGTTGCCTTCACGGGAATCTTCCAAGAGTACACATACGGATATTATTTGTCACACAAATGAGGTTGAGATCACGATAGAGGTGATGCAGGCTTGTCGAAACAATCGAGAAATCACATGTGATGAATGAGAAAATGAAATGCCTAGAAATTTTACTCCATAGGCAGTCTTCACATTTACACAGATTGTTCTCAACCTCAAACTCGTAGGGGATTTCCAATGATTCTGAATCCTGTCGCCTAGTCGAGTTGATTTGAAGTAAACAAGGTGAAGAATGTGGTAATCGTCTACTTTTTATTTATAAAACTTCTTTGAAGGGTTTTAATATAAAAATAACCAAAACGTGTATTGAAAAAAAGAATTAACCCTGTGCAATGTAGACAAATAATAATAACATATATTCTCACTTTACGCACATGAGGGCCAGTTTACAGGCATCTGCAATATAATAATGCTGTATACAAGGAGTAAGCACGTTTACACTTTTTCACTCACAAGATATATATACAAGGGAAGGTAATGGAGGAATGACAGTGAGCACCAATTGTACAAGTTAAAACAATTTATGTGATATAATCCTAGGCACCATTATTGTTTGAATTTGTCGAAAATGCGCGCGCCAACTGAAGGTTGCGTTACATTTGGTCATTGTATTAGCCTACTCAAAAAAGTATAAAAATGGGTTATATAACGTTAGTTAGGTTACCGTAAACTATGTTTTAAGTATTATAATCTGCAAGATGCTCACCACAGATGTTAGTATCCAGTTAAACATGCCGAGAAGCATTATTAATTCAGCGATCCGTGGAGTTTTCATTCCTTTCGGTCTGAAATCAGATTGACTCTGAACCGATCCAAACAATAAATAAACAGTTACAAGTTTGCACGCCCAAAGTGACAGGGAGAGACTTGCTTAATGAAGACTCTCTTGATAACACTATATGTAGTATTACATGTTATCTTAAATTTTGTCTTGACACCTGTTGTCCCACAGAAACGCTCCTCAGCACATTCCTCCGTTTCTCCTCCCACCGACTTAAAAAGCTTTGCAGGCAAAAAGAAAAGTTATATAAAATGAATGATAACACTGGTTTGAAAAGAATTAACATTCTAATAAAGTCTTAAATACACAGATTGAATTCAGTTTATCACCGGAAGTTTAAATCCTGTAAAAGTGCCTCTAATATATGGAAACGTTTCAAAGAAATTACTGATGGTAACCAGATTAATAGTAATTCTTATTGATTTGATGTGTGTGCACTAAACAAGTCTTTCATACACTCTACCACAAATGCCAAACTTTCTAATGTTATAAGTGTTAATGAAATCTGCTTCCCTGGTTTCAATACAACTGACGTTCGAAAATGTCTCCAGTCTCTGAACCCTTCTTGCAGCGCAAACCCAGATGGTTTGTCAACGCTGATTCTTTAAAAGTGTGCAGATATCTTGTGTTATCTTCTCATGGACATATTTAATGAATCTTCTCACAAAAATGTCGTGCCGTCCGTTTGGAAAGACATTAAAATTGTACATTTACCAAAGTCGTTTACTGTGACATGTTTTAAATTCGGACCAATTCCTCTAAAATCTATGGAAAATTTGCTCTAACCTAATCTTCATTCTTCGCTTAAAGCCTTTAACGATGCAAACAATTAGCTCACAAATATCGTAGAAGTAATTCAGATGCAGCTGCAACCTCCCATCCAAACATTGTCTCCAGTTTAGATAAAGGGGATAAACGTGTTCGGCGCACCTTCCTAGATTACACATCTCCTCTCGACTCAGTGTCTAGGGACATTCTGTTAAACAAGCTTGCTGAAACCCAAACTGACTTTTGAGTTGTCAATTGGCTGCATTTTTATTTCTCACGACGGAAGCAGTACACTGTACGTCAGAGAAAAACGTCCACTTTGTGGCTTACTGAGGCTGGTGTCCTTCGAAGCACTGTCGTTTCTCCATTTCTGTTTTCTTTCTTCTTGCATGACTTGCCTCACTCTGATGAAATGAACGTTGAGAAGTAAGCCGACGATCTAACTATGTTAATGTATGTTAACTCCCGGCTTGACTGTGCTAAGATGAACAGCCTTCTATGAGGAATCAGCGAATGGTCTTTGTCTTATGGTCTGAAGGTAAATCCTTCCAAGTGTCTGACTGTTTATTTAAGTTTCCGGTGTAACAGAAGTTGAAATGAAGCTGTTTATTCCTATTGTAACAACAGAAGACAAGGGCCGGCAACAGATCGTCTTATGACGGAAATCAACACGTATTTAGATATATTTCTTTTGCATTATTATAGCCTACGCAAGTAGGCAAACGCAGACTTCTGATTGGTTGTTTCGGATAACATCGAAAAGTGGAGCGATCTATCTGCGAATCATATTCGCCCACGCTAAGTTTGCTGTGATTGGTTGTGAATCAGCCTTGTTCATATTTTCCCACGGTCACTATTAGTGACCTAGACATTGACGTAGATTAATGTCTACCAATTGGCTAGCAGCCTGCTCTCACCACACTTTGACGCTTCAAAATTGATGATAGTGATATAGAAATCAAGCCTGAAGTTAATTATCTTGGATTAATTCTTTCTTCTGATCTATCCCAGTCTTTTCATGTCTTGGCGATTTCTAAAAAAATATTTCATCTGACTTTTTACATTAAGAAGTTAAGGCACTTAGGCATAGCCCAACCACTCCACTTACAGTTTGTCAAATCATACATTCTACCTATTCTTCTTTACTGTTCACCCTAATTCTCTCTTGGATTGCTTATGTAAGACTATGTCATATTTCGTAGAACACTAAAGACTGTGTGTAGGACGAGTGATATCCCACTGTTATTGTACTTCTTATAATTATAGCCCCCTCACTTGTTTTTTTTTATTTGTTCATTTTTCCATAAGTGTAAACATTATTTAGGCTGTGTTATAACTGTTAATTTTCTATCCCCCCCCCACCATACTATACCAACGGAAAATTAGAATCAATAACCTATAAAGTGCTAAAGGTTTCAAACTGAATTGACAATAATGTTTGAAAAATCTTACTGTTATTATGATTATTTTACTATATTCAAAATTCTCAGTTCATACTTCGAATATTTTGACATTATATCGTGAACGGTGACAAATTACTCTGCTTAATTTTGTTTTAATTTTCAATTTTACTTATATTTTAAGTAAACCAGATGCAATATTGTGACAAATGCTGAGAATTCCATTCTGCATTATAAGTACTGTTTTTGGAATAAAGTAGATTATTATCATTAGATTTATTTTTAATTTTTAAATAGCTTGATTCCAAACTGTATTTGTGGTACAAGTACTGAATTTTCAGCATGTGATATCGGTAGCCCAAATTTTGCAGCCGACCGTTGATATCAGGTATGCGTCGGCAAGGGATCGAACCCCGGACTATGTGCATGGTCGGCGAGAGCCATAACTGCTGTACCACTTAAACCTACGCAGAAAAAATGTCTAATGGTGAATGCTACATGTAAAAACATAGCTCTCATTATAACCAATTGAAACAAGCCTAGTGCTGAGTACACGTGATTACACAGTTAATTAACACTGTTTCTAACATTCATTATCGATTACAGCAGAATAAGTTCATACGGTGAAAATTAGCATGCATGTCAGTACACATTACAGGAAATCTCAAATACAAAGTAATTTTCTGTCACTAACTCAATCTACCAACGCTATTTCTTTAGCACTGTAAATCCGTCCAATCATCTGCAGATTTATTTCTCCAATGGTCTGCAAAGGACACAAATTATGTACTTATCGTTTATTCCTGTTATCCAATACGTAGCAGTCTAAGGCATGAAAAATGTGCTAACATAGACTCATCACGCTTTAAACAGGTGCATTTTCAAATTCTACTCTCTTTATTACCATTGGTTGTTGTCATTATTGTTTGCACATATAAGTTAACTCTGATTGGTTGTCGATATTTCTGACGACCAAATCAAACAGCACACTAATTCTCAAATGTTCTCAGATCACATACATATAGCATTGGCATGATGATCAACAGAGTAAGAGTTCACTCTAGTCGATCAATATTGTTGATGATACGCTGGTAGTCCATCGCTTCAAATATAGATGATAGAAAGTCGCTGGTTTTCCTGGATATGTGAGTGACTTTGACACTGACATTTTATCCTCTTTGATCATGCTGCCTAATTTACTATACATCTGGACCAGTATTCATTCACATCATTATCCATATGTCGAGATCAAAAGCATCCTGAGTAATTGTGTAGCTGTCATATCACTTGTTCACGCACAATTATATAGCACTGATATCGGTGATTCCAAATCCACTCGTCAAAAGCATTTCAACTTGCAAGGTAGGAATCTTTATGTTTTGTTTCATGTATTTGGGTTGATTCGGATGTCCGAGAACGCTTCTTCAACTGGAGATGCTTCTAATACCTCAGCTGCAGTTTGCCTTCCCCTACAATTATATTTTGATTGCTAATTGTTTCACGTGAGTTACATTCTCATTTTCCACATTCAAATGTCACTTAAATATTCCGTCGAATTAATTTTTAAGTGTTTTTTGGTAAATATCTTGAAATTTCATGTTTTTATTAGACTCAGCTTTCTTTGTCCGTCACTCATCATTCCGCCTTCAACTTGCAATGGATTCTAGTATTTGTCATTTTCTTGCTTACCCTTGATTATTTAAAATTGGACTGTGCAGTCCATTTAAACGTTTTTCTCAGTTATATTCTTTCTTCCCTATCTCTTGTTACGAATGAACTGAAGCACACTGACCAGTAAAATGGAAGTATATTACGCATCGATTCTAATGGCTTGGAGGCATTTCAGACTCACACGTCATTCAAATGTTCGTGCTGTGCAGTGTTCTTCTAACGCCATATATCATACTGGAGTTCGTTCCACTTCGTCAAAAATAGCCATCTATCGAACACTATAGGATTCAGACAAAAAGGAATTTTGAAAATTCCTGCGATGATAACATCGTTGAGTTAAAAATGTCAGTAGCAAAGTTCATCTCACCCAAAACAATTAACAATGAAGATATAATTGTAGGGGAAGGCAAACTGCAGCTGAGGTATTAGAAGCATCTCCAGTTGAAGAAGCGTTCTCGGACATCCGAATCAACCCAAATACATGAAACAAAACATAAAGATTCCTACCTTGCAAGTTGAAATGCTTTTGACGAGTGGATTTGGAATCACCGATATCAGTGCTATATAATTGTGCGTGAACAAGTGATATGACAGCTACACAATTACTCAGGATGCTTTTGATCTCGACATATGGATAATGATGTGAATGAATACTGGTCCAGATGTATAGTAAATTAGGCAGCATGATCAAAGAGGATAAAATGTCAGTGTCAAAGTCACTCACATATCCAGGAAAACCAGCGACTTTCTATCATCTATATTTGAAGCGATGGACTACCAGCGTATCATCAACAATATTGATCGACTAGAGTGAACTCTTACTCTGTTGATCATCATGCCAATGCTATATGTATGTGATCTGAGAACATTTGAGAATTAGTGTGCTGTTCGATCTGGTCATCAGAAAATTCGAAAACGAATCAGACTTGATTGATTTTTGCAAAAGACTCAATGCCTGTGAAACAAAGTTCAAACTGTGATGTTAAATAAACCATAAGAAAAATAAATCTGATGAAGCGGATGGAATTTGAGAATTCACTATTTGAAAAACTTCAAAGTTCAGTTTGCATTTTAATCCGATAACATTATCTGGATGCATTAAATGACCGAGTAAAAAGCCACATATATTTAAGGGGAACTAATAACATCATGTAACTGCAACATCAGAATATATTTGTAACTCATGAGTTTGTGACAACTATTCAACTGTTCGGATCCAACAAGCAGTACTTATTTACTTTACCCTACATTGAAACACCTCACGTGTAAGAACGTATTATTTCAAGGAGAATTGAATTTGAAGCAGAAACAGACGAACAGTGAGGCAAATGTTACCTGCTTCTTTTATTCGAATGTGGCCACTCAAAATGGGAGGTAAGTATTTTGAGCTTTATGTTGACTCCTATAGCTTACTTGAATGGATAGATGAATCGAATGATTGTTGCTTTCTCTGAATTCATAAAGTGAATACTTCGAAATATCTGTGCAGGCGATTACTTTGAAATTCATTCACCTTGGATAAAGTTATTTTTTGTTTCCTTTGAAGTCAAGCTTTTCATTTGAACATTACATTCACAGCTGAATAATTTCAGTTTACAAGTAAATATGTGCGCAAGCATTTGGAACAGTTTTGTAGACAATCCTGAAATTGAGCCACGCAAATATCAATTGGAATTTTATGAAATGTGATTTGAACACCAGGTCAAAAGGCACAACTTATCTTGAATCCAGATATGCAAGAAACACTACGTGCTTTGCAAACTGTTCCCCGAAGATATTTTTGAGACTTCGAGTAAGGCGGAATAACAAGTGTGGTAACTTTCAACAGGTGATTTCTTTTTCAGTTCTACTTATATTGAGTTTTAGACACATTAGGAATATGTGAAATTTTCTTACCTGCAGAATTCATGTACTCAATGGAGTTTCAGTTGGTTGAAATAAGAACGACCTTTATTTCTGTGATGTGCGTAGGTGGACGTCGTTTTCTTTACAAGATTTCACGTCATTCAACGAAATTAACCCTCCCCCCCTTATTTCTCATTGTCCTCGGTCGCTCACTTTTATTTGGCTCTGACGCATTTGTGTGATTGCATGTTTGCATATATGATATTTCACCTTCTCCTGTTTTCCATACAATTTGATGAATTCGTGCTACTTGTTTGACTAATTTATTCTCACAGTTTGCTTCTCCTATATCTCAACAACTTGTTCAATTAGTCCGTAATTTTATGATGTTCACCTGTATATTTTTATTTCTCTTTGCCAATAAGAGTGTTGTCTTCTGATTTACTAAGTCGCCTTTCAATTCTTCTCTACCATTCTGTTCATTTAAACCATTACCTTTAAATCTCTTCCTTCGTTAATGTGATATAATTGATCAAACCAACTATTAGATTATTCTCCTATTTTGCTTGCAACTCAAGTGTTAAAGTGTACAACTGTGCAACTGCCGCATTTAATCGTTTTAATTCCTCATAAACTTTGATTTATCATATATGTCAAAACAAAGTTCACTTTTAACAGTTTGAAAACATTTAGGCATTGCGTATATGATATTCATTATAACAAAGATTTTTGTATTTCCCAATGAATGAAAAAACAAAACGATGTTGTTTTTACTGACGTATGGCTGTTTAATGCTTACAGCTTTATCAAAGTATTATTAAACAAGAATTTCCAAAATCTCAGCTAAATATAACAAAGAGTTAGGAGGTGAGAAAATAAACTTAGGTCAAGTTAAAAGGACATATTGAATGTCAAAATAACAATGGAGATCACTAAACCAAATAACAAAGGTAATAGTACATCTGTTATGGTATCAAAACAAAGTTTACTAACTTGATCATCGTTCGTCAGTATGGGGTCGTTTTTGTTGTCAAGTTGGTCAATTGGTAAAGATATCAAAACCAAGTGTAGATTGTTGGATTTGATCAGTGTGTAAAATTATAAAACAGCGTGTGTTTATAAAACGATATGGCTTATTATATTCGTGTTGATTTTGTAACTTCATGGGGGAGGGGTTGTTGTAACCAGGTCAGATTCCGTTTATTTCATCATTCCTATTCAGACAATTTGGATTCCACTTGATATGAAGTGCTTCTGATATTAGACGTTCTTTGGGATTTCTGAAGTATTTCTGGATTATTTCAATATTGTCAAAATCAAATTTGTGACTTGATTCAATAGCTTGTAGACCTATTACTGATGATTTTTCAAATTTTTCTCGTTCAACCGGATTTCTCGGTGGTCGGAGAGATGCTTAACGGTGTTCATTTCTTCTGATTTCGATTTCTCGAGATGTTTGTCCTATGTAGGTCGCATCACATTCCGAGCATTTTATTTTATAGACACAAATAGATAGAGAATCTTTCGGGATTTGGTCTTTTATATGGACAAGGTTGTTTTCAAGTGTGTCCGATGTTTTGAAGAAAACTCTAATGTCGAGCTGATTGAGTACTCTTCTGATATAGTCTGAAGTCTCTGCTCTATATGGAATGACGACTGTTGATGTCCATGTTTCCGGAATGCGGTTTCGGCCATACCTAATGTCTGTGTTGATTTTGTTGATGAAGTTTTTGGGTAGTTGTTCTGCTTGAGAATCTCAGTAATGTTTGATATTTCTCCTTCTTTTTCTTGCTCATCCGTTATCAGAGAGTGTGCTCGTCTAAGAACACTTGAAGCAATTGAAATCTTTGCACTGTTGGGGTGTGATGATTTGAAGTCTAAATATTTATTGGAGTGGGTTTTCTTCCTGAATATGGATATACTAAAATGTCCGTTTTCCTTTCTCTTAACTAGGCAGTCTAGAAATGGTAGTTCACCGACGTCTGCTTCTGCTTCCGAGATAAACTGGATTCCGAGAAAATAAACTGTGTAGATCTCGTTTTAGTACTACAAACGTATCATCCACATATCTTAACCATATTTTAGGACTTTCCAGTAGAATAGTATACTACTGTATATCACTCGATGGAATAGGGTTAAGCTGGAAACTTGAACAAATACTCGACTGTTTTTCCCTTCAAAACATGCCCAGGCATTTAGTGAAAAACATTTAAAAATGAACGTGTACTCAGACGGTAGCAAAAAGGGAATCAAGTCATTTTCATGCATTATGTTTTGAGGAAGATTGCATGACCCAGTGATTTAGACGAGGGGTTCATTGATGAGGTGAAATGCGTTGATATTTGAATGAACATAATAAATATTTATTTAACTGCAGACTTCTGAATACTTACTCATTGTATTTGAAAGTTATGGTTCCTGCAGAAAAAAGGAAATATATTTTTAGAGAAGAGAAAGATTGAGCGAAGAAATATTTACTTTTCAATTAGATCCTCATCTCTGGCTCTACTTTAATATATATAGCATTTTAATTACAATACACAACAATTTACCAATCAAGTGGCGACATGTTTGTTAACAATAATTAGTCGGTGTCAAAATGTCAATGAGGTGGTAATTAACGAAGAAAAATTAATATGTATAATTAAAAGGTGGAAATGGTTACAACACGTGGATTGCATAATGCATAATGTAGGAAAAATGAAGAGCAATTAAGGAATAAGCGTGTGTACAGGTTGATTACGTAAGAGATTGTTAAAGAAAATAAAATAATTTGGACAATTATAGTTTTTAAAAGAAAAATTATTCTAGGGGGAGGGGATGGAGTAGTCCGGTTTATACAGTCATGTAACGATGGCCAAGGTAAGGAAAGTGGCTGGACAAATTTCTTCTGAACACACAAGTTTGGCCTCTTCAGGTGGATTCCTATTGCTTCAGCTGTATGTAGAAGACGAACTCGTAAAGCAAAATTAAGATTAG